TTTGTACATTGTACAGGTGAGAGAACACTAGGACACGTAGTCCTCTACTAGGTTCACCCACCTAAACCCATCCCACCCCACCCCACCCCAGGGGAGGACATCCATCTCACAATAATCTCGTGCGTGGGAAATTAAACCTGCAGGATGTCTATTTATCCGTCCCTATCCGAGAAGATTAGAATATCTAACCATTTCTTGATGTTATAGAAAGGTAGCATATTCTTCCGAATTATTTTAAGACCTTGAGCGTAGGCCGGGGCTCGAACCCTTGGCCTCCCGCACTACAGTCCAGCGCTCTATCTATTGAGCCAACTGGGAGGCGGATAAGAATACCCAGTGAGCAAAATAGTAATTTAAACAGATAGGAGTCCCATAACCGTAATTCTCCGGTAAGTTACAATGGCACAAACTGTTGTCTCAGAACTCGCCCGTTGGGTAGGAAAAAAAATGCTGACCAAGCAGGAAAGGAATAAACTAGCATGTTTTTGATGCATGCGTCTTGAATTACCCATAACAAACGGCAAAGCTCGGCTACTTTGTTAAAATAATAATGCACTAAAAACCGAGAAAGTGCATGATTATTAAAAATCCGTGTTAACAAAGCCCCAGAACTATTACTGGGAAGTAACAAAGCACGATTCGTAACTTGCGTCTAGTTTTTAAACGGAACGAATCAGTTCTACCGACATCCATGAAAACCAAAAAGCATTCAGCTTTTTAGGACACGACCCCGGCATTAATTAGACTAACTTTGAGTTGTATGTATTCTCCAGCTGACAGAGTTAAAAAAACAGCAAATTGGATTCAAATTACAACTATTACTCTGCTTTTAAACTCTCGTTCCTCACTGGAAGGTAGCACAAAACCGCGTTACTATTAACCTTTCTAAGATTCTCCCATTCATCCAAAGGCACAGGATACTTTTCTCCTGATGGAATTCTAATTCCACTGTCAACTGGGAAATTATTGATGATGAAATATACCCTCCCTTCTATTTCCACCGCACCGAGATTGTTTTGAGGAATACGACTTTGTTCGACATAAGACCACTTTTTGTTTTGCTCATCATATATTTCAACTGGGGCGCCGGAAAAACCTGTGCCCCCTGCAATACATAGTCTACCGTTCACTACAAAGAGGCTAGATCCAAAATGAGAACTATTAGTTGATGCCTTAGACTTCCATTCATTTAGTTCTGGATCAAAGCATTGTACCATGGCAGGTTTCTCATCATATATTTTACACAAATCTCTGTTATATCTCACCACTGTATCAAGACCCTGAAGTACAAACAAACACGAGTTGAAAACTACGGACGCTTTGCTACAAAATGTGTTCAAACGTGCTCCACTGGTAGAAAATGATCTTATGCATTGTAACTGATTTGTTTTTAAACTACACCTATGAGGTGGCTGTGATTCTCTGATTGCGTATATATAATCATCAATAGTACATAACGAATCGATCTTATGCTCACAGCCCAAAATAGGTGATAGTGTCTCCCAGGTATTACTAACGGTATCATAACGATACATAACAAAATATTCCTCCTTTTTTGCCGCTACATACAGGTGATTACCAGCATACTCTGCACAGAAACACGTGGTTGCATCAGTCAACTGAGCCATGGATGGTAGAGGTTTCCATTCTTTGGTTTCAAAATCAAAGTATTGCGCCTGAGCTTGAGGAATAATGGCCACAAGAACCTGTCAACAGTACCAACGGATGAGATAAAATAATTGGTAACTGAACTCTATCAAAATTAAATCGA